TAAACTTGCTTTCTTTTTTACTTCATTTTAATTAAAACAAATTTACATAAATATGTATAAGCACACTATTTAGTTTGCTCGATTTGTAAACAAAGCTTCTCAGCGGTGAAAAATAAACTATTGTGAACAACCTAAACGAGCGAAATTCACAATAGCGCTATTCTTCATCGAATGAGTGCCATAATACCAAATGAAAATTCGTTCGCTCAGCACTTTCGACCACAGTCGTAAATCGAATGCAACTCATAATAGGGGCCTATAGTAATTTGGGCACTGCTTCGTATTAGGTACGTAACAGCGCGGTAAGATGCCGCTTGAATTAGCGCCTGGCGACCTTATCCACTGGTGCATTACCTCATACCAGCACTAAAAGAATCAGGTACTAACAAAAATGAGTAGGTAGTGAAGTTCATGTATCTATTTACTGTAGAAACTGCTTTTGTATGTATGTCATTGCCAGCAAACTAAACCAGCAACTGTCTACATTCACCATGGAAATATACCTACTACAATTCATCAAGGAAAGGCCAACATAGTTCCGTGTAGAAGCTCATAGCTCACACACATAGCACAAAGCTCGATTTGGTGTTTAATGCATGTCCTCGCCGGCAGAACTGCTTCCATTTTTTCGACAGGTTTGCATCCGTAGGAAACGGAAAAAAACTTATATAGCACGCTTTCCTTTTGTTTTCACTATTACACTTTGCCACTGCACACTTCATTTTGCTTTTTAATGTCTCAATAATTGTTTAAAACCACGCAGAAATATTGGGTAGGTTCAGAAGGTGCAGAAGTTGAGCGCAACCGTTGCTAAAAAAATCAATGATCGTAATGCGTCTTCTGAACGGCTTGATACATTAGCTGTCAAATTCAAAACACGCAACACGTTGTCTCAAATGATCAGAAAAATATTACGATCATCTAACACGCAACTGTTCAGTTGATCAGAAGTACAAAACAACGCGTTCAGAAGCTGCAATCGCAACAGTTACTGAGCTGTTGCGCCTTCTGAACGTGCCCATTAACGCACAAATATTAAAATTGTTATTTGGTTTTTTCGTATGCTCGCATTCAACAATTGCACCCACGATTGAGAGAAATAGAGATTGCGCCAATCGCGGTACCGCTAATCCGCTCTTTGTGATTTTGACAGAATGAGCTGTGTGCGTGACGTCATCTTGGTGCAATTGTTGAATGCGAGCATACGAAAAAACCAAATAACAATTTTAATATTTGTTCGTTAATATTTCTGCGTGGTGTTAAACAATTACTGAGACATTAAAAAGCAAAATGAAGTGTGCAGTGGCAAAGTGTAATAGTGAAAACAAAAGGAAAGCGTGCTGTATAAGTTTTTTTCCGTTTCCTACGGATGCAAACCTGTCGAAAAAATGGAAGCAGTTCTGCTACCGTCCACAAATATAAATATGCACTCTGCATGGCTTTTTAAAATGGCAAGTCCAAAAATTCACTTTGCTGCACACTTTGCAAACACTGTAATAAACCCATTTTTTCATGTGCTAAAAATCGTCATTATCTAAAGGGCTACATA